TCCTACTCTACTACTATCTTATTCCACTCCTACTCTACTATTAACTAATTCCTACCCTACTCTACTCTTATCCTTACCCTACTCTTCTCTTACATCTCTCTACCCTTACTCTATATTTACTCTCGGTACCTACTTCTCTCCCTCTACTCCTACTCTCATTCAACTATTATCTTATCTTACTTCTATCCTCATCTCTTATCCTACTTTCTTATTATACTCTCTTATTCCACTCCTCACCCACTCTTATTTTACTCATCTCCTACGCTACCCTTATTATATTCCTGCTCTACTCTTCCCTTATTCTACTCCTACTCTTCTCTTCTCTTATTCTACTCTAATACTCTCATTCTACTCTCATTCTACTCTCATTCTACTCTTACTCCTCTTTTACTCTCTATACTTACCCTCCATAGCTATTCTCTTCCTCTACTCCTCTTTTACTCCTTTTCTACTCTATATACCTACTCTCTAGCCACTTTCAATACTTAGTCTCTATACTTACTCTACCTACTCTCTATACTTACTCTCCATACCTATTTTCTATATTTACTCTCCATACCTATTCTCTACCCACTCTATGTACCTACTCTCTATACTATATGCTCGTCCTCCATCTGCTCTCTATACTATATACTCGTCCTCTATCTGCTCTCTATACTATATACTCGTCCTCTATCTGCTCTCTATACTATATACTCATCCTCTATCTGCACTCTATACCTACTCTATACCTACTTTATACTTACTTTATACTTACTCTATACCTACTTAATACTTACCCTATACTTACCTTATATTTACTCTATACCTACTCTTTAGATAATTTATGCTTACTTTACGCTTACTCTCCGTATTTACTCTCTATCTACTCTCAATAGCTACTCTGTGTACCTACTCTGTGTAATTTCTATCTGTACCTACTCTCTATACCTACTCTCTATAGTTACTCTCTGGTTACTCTCTGTACCGACTCAATATACCTACTCTATATACCTACTCTATATAGTTACTCTCTGGTTACTCTCAGTACTTACTCCTTATAGTTACTCTCAATAGCTACTCTCTATCATTACTCTCCGGTTACTCTATATACTTTCTATATGTACCTACTCTTTATCTGATGCATGGAAATAACACACATTGGAATCTCCCTGTGTTTGTCTTTCGAATAATATATTGTACTATATGTCTTACCTAATTTCTTTTTGGTATATACTTTTCCATATTTTAATAAATATCAATTTATATATATCCTTAAATATACGCCTGTCAATATTTATGTATATATATTTGTGTACATATATTTGTGTATATATGTCTGTATATATATCTATATATCTATATACCTGCATACTATGCAGCTTACTATGTAAATGTTACACCTAGTGTATCTCCACCAATATTGCTTCGTTCATCTATGTTTATATACCAAACAATATATCTACTATAATATACTGTCATCACCTTATTTAACTTTGTTAGCTTATATATCCATTCACTTTGATGCACCTTCTCGGTTGAACTGTTGAGGCAAGTGCCTGCATATAGTTTCTACCGCTTACTATACAACTTACTATGCAGCGTACTATACAGCTTCCTACATGGTCTAATATGAGACCACTGCATCCAGCGTATCTCAACCAATATAGTTCCATCTAAGTTACACACCAAGTATCTATGTGACATACTATGGCAGCTACTAACATCACAGGGTGACCCTGTATTTTTGCCACCCACCACGTGATATCAGGAATGTAGGACTATCCGGTATGTTTTGGATATGTTCGAACGGTACGAAACACACAGCGGGAAACCCCCCCACACAGATGGATCAGAGCTCTGACAGACCCTCCTGCTTGTATTGTGCGTATCGCACCAACCTTACACCCTAAAAGAGTCTCGGTCAACACCTCAGCTTATCCAGGGTAACGCTGCGTATGAAAATCACAGCATATATTCCTCCACCACCCAAGATCCTGTAAAGTTCGGCGTATCTACACCGTACCGTAGAAGCAATTCGTCAACCCGCACCTCCTTCGCTACTCCCTTACTGCCATGAACACGCACGAAATTCCTCTTTTTAGCAACATCCTTCCGTTAGAAATTGTCGAGAAGATCGTCTCCTACCTACCACTTCCCGTAGCCTTCGAAGTGGCGAAATCGGAGAATGCCAGTCTCGCTTCCGTGGCTCGGAGACGCTACTACTCAAATATTAAATTGACCTTCTACGAGCCTCCGGATGATGGTTACTCTCATATGGGTAATGAGGTCCTCAGCATGAAGATATCCAGGTTTGAGGCCTTGGTAAACAGCAATACGTTTGACCAGCTTCATATTAAGAAGCTCTTCATAGATGTATACACACACGTTGAAAATTTTACCTTCCTCCGCGAAAAAGTGTTCACAAAAGCGTCATCAATTGTCACCGACGTTATTCTAAAGTTTACCACGGATGGGGAGTGGTATTGGACATTCAGCTGGGACTGGTTACCACCTTTGCCCCTGGTGCAGGAACGTATCCGAGAAATATCCGTTTGGTACCCTTATATTGATCCGGATGTAACACCTTTGCCTTCCAGCTTGCGTAAGCTTGACCTTCAATACCACTATCAATATGGGGACGATGATGATGATAATGATGAAATTGCTCCAAGAATTGTTTTTCCTCCAAATCTCCAAGAATTTGTTTCGAAGATCCCCTGGGGATCGATGTCAGCGTACACCAACCTCCCTTCAACCTTGCGGAGATTGGTGCTAGAGGATGTCTTGGGATTTTCTGTCGAGGCCTTCAACGAGCTAAACTTGCCCAATTTGAAATATTTGCGATTAAAAACCATTCCTGACGTTACAGAGATCAACGAAAAATTTGAATTTCCCTCGCTGTTGGAGAACTTAAAACTCTACGAGCTTACAATTACTAACTTCGAACAACGGAAACTACCTCCAAGATTACAAAAGATATCCATCGCAAGATGTCCCTTGAAGAAGTTTCGCGTGGATACATTCCCGAATTCCGTCAAGGAGTTGATATTAGACGATATAGACCTTCCATCATCTGAGATCCGCATTCTCAAGTTTCCTCCGAGATTGATCTCCTTACAGATTGCGCGCTCCCAGTTAACATCGCTAGATTTTGTTAGCTCGTTACCCGGGTCCTTAAAATCTCTTTGTCTCCACAGCAAATCCCTTGGTATCTTGAATAAAACAGACGAAAGTTCGGACACTGCAAGGACATGCCAAGTCAAGTTCCCCGAGGGTCTCCAGGAGCTTAATCTCGAGAGAAACCGTTCGTTATTTATCCTGTATTCGCCAAGAAATCTAATCTTTCCCCCGAACTTGAAGGATTTGAATCTCGGGGACACGGATTTGAGTCCAGTCAACGAGCTCAACCTTCCACCAACATTGAACTCTTTAAGATTGTGCTCCAATAGCTTAGTCTCACTTGAAGGGCTCGATCTTCCACCAGGATTGAACTCTTTAGACTTGAGCAACAATAATTTTGTCTCGGTTGACGAGCTTAATCTTCCACCAGGATTGACTTTCTTAGATTTAAACTTCAATAGTTTGATCTCGGTTAAAGGGCTCGGTCTTCCACCAAGCTTGATCTCTTTAAGTTTATGCTCCAATAATTTGGTTTCGGTTAATGAACTCGATCTTCCACTAACGTTGACCTCTTTAGACTTGAGTTTTAATAGTATTGAACGACTTTCAAAGAGACTACCAGACAACATTCAACTATTGAATCTTGAGCATAACCAATTGAAAAAATTGGTAAACTTCCACCTTCCGGTGAATTGTACCGAGCTTAAACTCTCGTATAATCCACTCCAGAAGCTCCAAACCTCCAATGCAAATGACCCAAAATTGAAACTTCGAGATTTCTGTTTAAACGAAGTCGCCATTACCGCACTCTGTGATATTTCTCCCCTCCCGCAAGGTCTCACTGACTTTTCAATAAATAATACAAATATCGGCTCCTTATCAGGAATACTGTTTCCTGCGGGGCTAATCTGTTTGTGTGCGTACAATGACCAGATAGTTTCTTTGGAAAATGTTGAGTTCCCACCACATTTAGAAGAGTTGTGTCTCCTGAGAAATCAAATATCCAGTTTGGCCAATATCTGTTTTCCGGACAGTCTACTTAAGTTGGAGCTTGATAAAAACAAGTTTATGTCAATTGATGACATACAGCTTCCTCCAAAATTGAAAGAATTGGATTTTGCATGGAACGCGATTAGTGCAATCAACGAGCTACAGTTGCCCGAATCCCTTGAAAGGTTGACTTTAATGGAGCAAAGGTGTGATATTCCACTTAATCGTGTTTCCACCCGTGGAGACTCATCGATGAGCTCCAGTTCATCTGAGAAGAAGGGGTTGTCGAGCCTTGCAGGATTAACCAAACTTCCGCCAAAATTGGAGTATTTAAATCTATATGGGAACAGTTTGTCGGGACAGGCCGTCCAACACTTGGTGTTCCCAGCCAGCTGGATAAGATTACTCATCTATGATAACTCATTTGACGATTATTATCAATGGAAGGAAAAAATCAAGCAGACACATCCAAGAGTGTCGTTTGATTAGTGAATTGGAATTTTAGGAAAAACTCCTGTCTTTCGAGTGCTAACCATGATTTAAGGGGTAACAATAGTAAGGAATTGGCGTAGGTAAAAGTGATTCTAGAATAATATGTAGCTAAGGATAAATGCTGCCCATTGATAAATCTATATATCTACCTAAAGTGTCATATTTCTTTTATTCTGCCAAAGTCTCATATTTTGATTCACTTTATCCGACCTCTGCCCTGGGCTGGTCTATTGAGGTAGGTGCCTGCATATAATCTTATGTAGCTTACTGCATAGCTGCACATGCTGCATCTGATAGCTGCGTGCACTTGTCATCAATCCCCTACTCTTCGCATCGGATCCTGTATAGGTGCTGTCTTCCGTGTAACTTTTCCAGTTAGGAAGAATATATTAACTAGACTAATTAATATAAAATTATATCCAATATCGTTCTGTCTGCTCACCTTGCTTATATATAGGGCGTATTACTCAATACGTTTTTCTCTTTACTTGTGTCCTGAGACATGCCACCCATCTTTAGCCTTTTCGTTCAATTCCCATCGTACCCGTTGTTAGCTCCATTATCACCTCCTCACCCGCGTTCTCACTGCTCTGGCTAAGCCGATTCGGGTGCGTATACAGCGCATTAGGTTCCTCTCGGCACACTTCTGCTCCCCCTGATCGACCAGTAACGATTTAATATCTAATTTTACAAATATTCATCCGACCTTTCAACGGCAAGAACAGTAAAGATCTACGTCACCCAATTTTTTGGGTTCAGCCGCCGGAGATGTACGTATGTGCTGTTACAGATACATACATGAAAACATAATAACACTTTTGGCATGGTCCCTACACATTTCAATAAAAGTTTTCGTATATAATTATAAAGAAAGTTATTCCGCAGGTAGCTCAGAGAGACAGATTGGTATTCTTAACACAGATTAACCCAAGTGGTAAGCGTGAGGAATTCTGTTGACAAGGAGTAGCTTGAAACTCCAGTCAGAGAGGTTGGAGCAGTGGAAGAGGAAGAGGAAGAGCTTGGAGCAGCAGAAGAACTCGAGGAAGAGGAGGAGCTGGAGGAAGAACTGGAGGAAGAGCTGGAGGAAGAGCTAGAGGAAGAACTGGAGGAAGAGCTGGAAGAAGAACTTGGGGCAGCGGAAGAACTGGAGGAAGAGCTTGGAGCAGCAGAAGAGGAAGAGGAAGAGGAAGAGCTTGGAGCAGCAGAAGAGCTAGAAGCAACGGAAGAGGACGAGGAAGAACTCGAGGATGAGGAAGAGGAAGAGGAAGAGCTTGAAGAACTCGAGGAAGAACTCGAGGACGAGGAAGAGGAAGAGCTTGAAGAACTCGAGGAAGAACTTGAAGATGTCGGACACAGAGTAACAGCGGTAATCAACGAGCTAGAAATGGCACCAACCAACGAAGACTGAGTGTATGTTTGGGTCGTAGTATGCGTAAGCGTTCTGGTTACGACAACTGGAACTCCAACACCTAAGATACTGGTCGTTGCCGTAAGGAACGTAGTGGTCGAAGTGACAGGGAAGGTAGTCGTCAAGAAACTCGTGGTGGTATAAGTGTAAGCAGAGTTAAGAATCTTATCAACAACCGTACACCCATTGGACTCAATGGAAGTGAGAGTAAGCGTGAGAACACTAGGAGGAGGCGTGGC